TTTGTGACGTCCCGTCTAAATTTTTATTCTGTTATCCAACCGATTCGATTTAATTCAATAAACCACATAAATACGTAATCTCTTATTATTATTCTTTTATATTTATCCTACATATATATATATATATATATATATACGTATACACACACACCATACATAAGATGACAATTCTACGGAATTAAATCCAAATCTTTTACTGGACAAAATTACTGTTTGTGCACTGAGCTAAATTAGTATGTGTATTTACGAGTGCACCTAACCTGCATTCTCGTAAATACAATATATTAACTTTATTACTAAAAAAATAAATCAATACTTTACTCAAATAAATTAGAAGGAGAGCTACAGAGCCAAAGCCACGCAATTGCGTTCTAAATTATAATTATATAGTGAATTTTTTAAGTAATATGAAAATTTTATTTGTAATTTACTGTTGAAAATGACCGTCTAGGGTCGAAACGTCCGTGAAATTATTGTATGTATCTTTATTTATTTGTATTATTTTTTAAATATATTTCAATTGGCAACATTATCTGGCCTTTGCTCTGTAGCTCTTCTTCTAATTTCTTTAAATTCTATTCATTAGAGCCTTTATATATATTTATAATTGAAATTTTAATACTTTATATTTATTTAGCAAATTTTTCTTTTTTATTTAGCAAAGATGCAAATCTAGCAGGAACAATGTCCGGCCACGCTTCGTGGGTACTCGGCGTAGCTTTCTCACCAGATGGACAACAATTTGCATCAAGTAGTTCTGATCATACAGTCAAGATCTGGGAATTAGCACAAAGACAGTGTCTGCATACATTTCGTGAACATAAAGATCAGGTATGTCTTTCAAAACTTGAAATAATTTTTAGTTTAAATAATGTTTAATTTTTTAAAATTTTAATAAATGCAATTTTTATAATAGGTCTGGTCAGTCAAGTATAATCCACAGCGAAATAACATAATTGCGTCAGTATCTGAGGATAAATCTATTAATTTATACGAATGTCCGATATATGACAAGTAATTACACCAAGGATCAATAAATTTTTTTATCTGCTACACTTTTTATTCTGTTTATTAGTTGCAAACAACCGATGACACATTTCCTTCAAAGTTTAGATTATGATAAAGACCGGGGAATATTCTTAGCTATAAATTTTATTGTACTGCAAGTAATAATGTACAAACCATAAAGGTATCTGACGAATTTAAAACGCGATATGTAACAAATTATTCTTAAAACCTAGAGCGAAATGAAAATGACATTACAAGAATAGTGTAGATATTTTTAATATTAAAAAAAAATAATACATTTGTTGAAGAATAACATAAAGTTACCCTGACGTGGTTCCAAGTTGGCAGAGTTAAATTTAATTAACTCGAACTGGAGCAGAGTAGAATTGCTGACAGAAGAGGTTTTTTTTCTCGATTAAACTAATAAATATAATAAATTCTAGTTCATGTACCAAATAATCTCCTTCTGGTGAGAGTTTGGTAATGATCTGACTCCCACACAAAAGGAAAATTGACACGATATAAAGGATAAGAAATGAAGATTAAAGATAAAATTAAAAACGAAACTAAAAATTAAAAAAAATATTGCAGCTGCTCGTCTGCATTGAATCTTTGATGAAAGATAAAAAAATGTTATTGTAATAATTAAATACGTAGCATTTTGATCTCAGATCTATGTCTGATGTCACTGATCTATACATCCCTTTACATTTATTTCCGAAGGGGATTTTGATAGGCTGTTTATAAGTGAAACGAGTATTCATAATACATGTAGTATATGACGAAAATAGACGATATATTGCCTTGTAGACTAGAAACAAAGTAATCATCTTATAAAATGTTTGCCCCCGTTATTGTAATGCCATTTTTAGCAAACTACTTAGACCGTTCTACGCTCACAGTCGATACAAACGGTACTTTCTCATTAATTTTTTTTTAACTTTATTCCAGATCTTCATCGTCTAGTACTTATCAGTCTTCAAAAAAGTAATTAGACTTTATATCCGTTTGTTAAGAAATGGTACGAATCGATTAATATGAAGGAAATAAAATACAGATTGCCTCTTCTCTCTCTCTCTCTCTCTCTTCGATTTTTCAACTTCAAATACGAAGATGTATCATTAGCAATGTATCATCAGCGCATCGTGTTATACATAAGTTTAAACGTGCTACTAAAAACTCTTTCTACATCCTTCACTCATTATATCGACATATATATATATACAAAATTGAATAAATAACCGATCAGAATCACCGCTATGCACTATGGATTTTCGACTGATTCTCTCTCTCTCTCTCTCTCTCTCTCTCTTTTAAACTCGGAATTATTCTATATCATGTATATATACAACAGACAAAATGGACAGGAATGATCTTGAGATTTCCTATTAATATTTCACATTTCTGTCGTTATTGAAGAAATTGGCATCGTGTACGAGATTACGGATATTGTACCGTAATTATTTTTTATCCTGGATAAAATATTGAAAGACTTGTATGCGCGTCAACGCGTACACGCGTACGTAACAAGACAAAGGGGGAGAGGGGGGGGGGGAAATGATTAAAATTATCTACTTGTAATGCATATCACATGACGAATGTGTGTGCGGACAAAACATATATATAGCAAGCGAATTATACACAATGACTAGTCAAGAATGAAGAGGAGGCGATTATTACAGAACTTATTCACGCTTTTCGTTTAGAGGATTCGTCTCTCCCTATACCGTTGTTACTCGAGCAGACCCCGTGGTTATTTCCGCGTGGCGATCCGCCGCCTCGAATTTATCCTGATCCTCGTCCGATCTGGTTTTGATCGCTTGCGATGGAATGTCTGGCCTCGGATTGTAGTTGAATGGCGGCACGATCGCTGAAGCTGGCGTCCGCACGCTACTGCTACTGCTCTCCGCCGTTGCCGTCGTTGGATCTGGTACGCGGATGAAAGAACCAAGCCTGGATATTCTCTTGGTGGGGTCCGCTTCTGCCGCGAGATCGTCGCTCGATTGCTTCCTCATGGTCACCAGGATATCGCTCAACTGCGTGATCTCCCGTTTGTACGTCTCGGACGATTTCACTGGAATCCTGCAGAGCGTCTCATGGGCATTTATGCTCGTCAAGTCGCAAGAGTTCCTGTACTTGACACCGCCAGATCCAATCTGCGCGCCCAAAACCGGCGGTCGACTGGATTTGTAGGGGAACGTCTCGTTGTCGCTGCAGCTGTCCTCCTGGGAAATTCCCTCGAACGTAGAACTGCGGAACAATCTGTACGCCGGCGGGTCGTCGAGTGTAACAGCAGCTGCGGCGTCCACCTCGGCGCTATTGGCGGGTCTTATCCACTGCCTAGTGTCCTTTTCGAAACGCTGCTTATTCTTGCTCTCCTCGACCTTCTTCCAGAGGCTCGCGATCTTACTCGTTGCTTCCTTCGCCAACTTGCGATTTTGTACGCTCACAGATGAATTGGAAACTATACTGGAGTTACTATTAGATCGTTGCCCCAATGGATCAATCTTCCGAACAGTCTTGTCATTCTGGAGTACGTTACCGTTAAGAACTTTCGTTGGCACACCCGTTTTTCCAGACGATATTTTCTTCGGTGCCATTAACGATCCTTTAGACGGTTGCATTTTCTCGGAGCTAATAGCTATCGTCATTTTTGGCTGATATTCTTGTTGTGCTTTTACGGAGGTAGATTTTCCCACTGCCGGATATATCTTGGACGAGGCACCTCTGATCGGTTTGGCGATCCTCGTCTTTATCGGAGAAGAAGACGCGGAATGCACCGTCGGAGCGTTCTCCACCTCCGGTTCGTCCTTTGTGAAAGTTCCTTGACGCTCCAACAGCTTGATCGGGACCTCCGGCGGTTTGCTGTCGGTTTGATAGTTCGACGAGCAAGCCGGAGGTGTGCTGTGACGTTTAGTGGGTTTTGTGAATGTTAACGTGGATCCCTTTTGAGGCACGGAGGCCCTCTTGGATACAATCGCCAAATTTCGTGTCTTCTTTTCGGTGTCTGCAGGAAGCAAAGTCCTCTTCGGGCTCGTGTTAGATTTCGCGGATTTCGGAAAATCTTTCGTAGCAATCGTCGTGCTATTATTATTTTGCCGTAAAGTGGTAGCTCTGGTAGCTCTGACGATGGGTGAAGTGTTGCTGCGACCTATTGGTATCCCGCTGACAAGGTTCACTTGCTTCAACGGCGAGGATTGCGGGGTCGGCTTTCGCGTTATTGGATTGGAATAAAGCGCCTTCCTTCGTCCTCGAATAGCTTTTGGGCTTTCCGGCTCCGATTTATCCGTCCCATTGGAATCCACGCTTGGATCTCGACCTGACATTCCCGGCTTGATTATCCGTGGCCTTTTTGTCTCCCTGGATTCCTGTCCCTCGTCGGCGCAATTAGACTCTTCGTCTTCACTGCCTGAATCAGCTAGGTCTGCCAAGTCCTCGTAAGCGACTTCTACGTGCTCACCTTCTAATTGTTTCTCACTGTCAATGTTCGCCATGGAACTTTTGGCATATTGTGTACCCATCAATTTTCTTGAAAGTCCGTTTACGCAATGCAGTCTTAGATTATGGTCAGCTTTAGGCTCGTTCGACGCCAAGGTTACGGTTGCACAACGCGAAATATTATCTCCGGTTGAATTATTAGCTTTACTTGACTCATTCAGAGTGTTCAGCACGATAGTAGCGTTCTGTTCTAGCATATTTTGAATTTCCTCCCGCATACATTCTTGCGCGCTCGCTTGTCGCACTTCCGTCGAGTCGACGCTCGAAGTTCGATACTCGGTACTGCGCTCGGTTTCCTTGAACATGGTTTCCGAATCGTTCAATGTCCTGGTGCGATATCTCTCCTTGCTTTCATGTGAATCCCCGCGTTTTCTTCTCAATGCTTTGCACATGGGTAACTTCGTGAGCATAGGAATCGAGGACTTGGCGGGAGATGTAGCTTCTTGCAGCTTCTCGACAGCATCTTCAACGGTCATCCTGTGTGCCGTCTCTTCCTTAGTTTGAGCCATACTCAGATCTGGGAAGGGATTCCCCAGCACTTGTGTCTGAAATCTCGCTCTATTTTCTTGTCTACGTTGCTTTGGCGTCAGTTTCGAAAAGGGAGAACATTTTCTGCGTGGAATTCTATCACCCGCGTCACTGGCAACACCGTCTTGCCTCCGACGTTCTTCCTCTTCCTTTTTGACGATCTCTGCAGCAATGGTATATGTCTTGTATCTCTCCTTTGCCAAGTTTCGCTTTTGCTTCGGGGTCAAGTAGTTCCTCGAGTGCGGTCGCTTCTTCGGCGTCGATTCCGCCGAGCTGCTGACACAATATTCAGACGAGATTGGCGTAGCCGCCTCGTCAGTGTCGTTCTCCGCTTCGTCTATCACCTCCGCCACGATCGAGTGCACCGCCTCGTCGGTGTGCAAATCCATATCTATGCACAAAGTGTCACTGCACATAGTATCAGTGGTCGCCTCCATCGTGGACTCATCCATTTCGGTCACTTCGTTGAACAAGGATGGCGGATTGATGTTTTCGAGGCATTCGCTCAGGCTGTTATTCGCGCTGCCCTCGACGTAACGCATACACGTCATTGACAGCACGTTGGCAACTGGCTTCAGCATTTCGAACACCGCCGGGTCACTGCCAGTCAGACTGTGCGAGTCTTGCTCCTTCGAATCCGCAATTTCCGACGTGATACTGGCTACGCTCAACATGCTATTCTCCATGTCACCTACATCCGGCAATTCGTCCATCATAGACGGCGGCTTGACATTTTCCAAATGCGAGCTAGTGCACTCGTTCAGCAGATTCTCCAAACTAGTCGTGTGACTCTGACTCTGACCCAATGCTCGCTTCGCCACCACGCCGACCGGCAAGGACTTCTTCCGCACGTTGCGAGGATCATTGGGATTTTTCACTGGCGCCGGTGGCAACGACGTGGAGTAACATCTATCGCGATTGACGAATATCTCAGTATTGTCAGCAGTGCCGGCGTAGCTTGCAGTCAATGAGAGCAAACTTCCCATCGAGGATGGCGGTTTGATCGCTTCGAGATCGATGGATGCTAGACTCGTTGTTTCGAAATCATTCTGATTGCTCGTCTCCGCATCCACCGCTTCTGCCAGCTTGATAGCCTCACGTTGAATGATCTTCGATTCCGTCATGTTGATTTGCTCATTGTTTTCCGATATGGTAGCGCGCTGATCTTCCTGCGCGTCGCTGTTGAACGAAGCAACTAGTGGTGCGCTCATGCTGATGCTGGGGAAAGAAATGTCATTGGGCGAATCCTCATTCCATGTGTCGCACGTCAAACTCTGTTTCATTGTACCAGAGTCCCGTTCACGTATCGCTTCAGTTTGCTGAACTAACGTTGCTGTCAGTCGATCTAATGAAGCAATCATAGCATCGGGATCTCTCTGCCGTCTATATGTCTCTTCTTTTATATGCTTCTCCGCGCTACCGCGATGCAGAACATCCGAGGTCCTCACGATTTCGAAGGTTGCTTCTGGTTTTCCGTTCACGTTACCGTCAATCTCGTCAATTTCATCATTATTTTTTCCTTTTATGAAATCTACTTGTTTGTTGTACAATTCTAGTTGTGACTTAACGTAATCTGCGTTGCTTTTGTCAAAAGCAATGTTGCTTTCAGATTTTATCCCGGGTTGAATACACAATTCTAAAAGCGCATGTTCAGACTGTTCGACAGAGTCGATCGACTCGTTGCTTTCGAAATCTTTTGATTGCTTCATAGATGGTATATTTGCGAGCCGAACATCAGTTATTGCTTCGTCTATTCTAATGGAGTTATTTTGATCTGTACCATCAGTTATGACAAAATTATTGGAAATGTTTGTATTTAAAGATGCATTAGATTTCTGTAATGCAGATATTTTTCCTTCTGAGAAATTATTGCCGAGATTGTTATCCTTTAATGTTTTTATGGTAGCGTTATTCGATTTCTCATTATCCACGCCATTCACGTTTGTCATTACCTATGAACAAAACATCTTTTAAAACATAATTAAAATATATATTATATATAATATAGATTGTTATGTTGATATTAAAAAATCAATCTGAAATATTCTTACTGTTATTGTTGTCGGATGAAGATTCTCTTTAGACAATTTTTCATTATCTTTCGCGTCCTTTCTATTCTTTTCTGTCAAAACATTTTCAGCTGTTCCACGAGACTCTGCATATTTTATATTAAACGATGAACTGTCGGACACAATTCCTTTATGTTCGACTTGATCTAAAGCAAGACTAGTTTGATATCGAGTCAAATTAGTTTCTGATCGAGGAAGTTTTTCAAGATTATTTCCTATGAAAGAATGTCTATGCCTACAAAATAAGATAATTTCGTGAAAATTACAAAATAACAAATTACGTAATTTCCACACTAATAATGAATATCTTACCGATTATTTTGCATTCCAATGTTAATACAAGCAGCTAATAAATCCTCGTCATCCTCGTCTCCATCGCTAACTTGATCTATATATATTCGAAAAAAGTTTATTATATTATTGAATTGTTAGAGTATTTTTTTCACAACGGAATTATATATGTTACTTACATCCTGAATCGTTATTAGAAGTCTTTAAACCAGTGCTGCTAGATGAGAGTTCAATGTCACTCGATGGTAAATCTTTATTTACTTTACTATTTTGTTTGGAGTCTGCAATTTTATATTATTTATATTATTTGTGAGAAAATTTAAACAATAAATCATATTGGGGTAAATGAAATGTTTTAGATTACCTAGACTATTAATCCTAGAACTAGATTCCTTCTCATGATCGTCATTATATTCAGAGTTTCCTAATATCATCGAAATTGGCGTTGTTCTGATACTGCGAAAATATCATGCAAATAATTATATATTAAACGGCTGTTATAATTTAATAATTTATTATTCAAATGCATCGTTGAATTTTATATAAATTTAAAATATCATGATTATATTTAAGAAAGCATAATTACCTTGAATGGCTTTGCATGATTGCGTCCTCCCGATTGCCTTTGAGACGCTTGCTCATATCTTCTTCAAGATACGGTAACGAACGATTCGTGCTCTCATCATCCGTAAGATGCGTCACGTCTCGTAAATTTAATTCCGTTTCCGATTCGGTAAAGTCCTTCAGTTTTGGTACGTCTGTCAAGAACGACACTTTGCATTCACCATGATCCTCCACGCGACTCGCCTTATATTGCTCCGGTAATTTCTTCGACGAGCTTCTTATACGGCTATCATCCTGCAGATCGGAAGCGGAAGTGGCTCTGGACGAATTCAAGGACTCGCGCGGCGTACCCTCCGTGTAATAAGTCTTGACCGTGTCCTCGTGCACGAGTCCTTGATCAGTGCTCGTGAAGAAGTCGGAATGTTGTTTCTCATCGTCTATAGTTTGCTCGCCGTAGCGCAAACTATAGTCGGTTGGTTGATCCAAATCTGTTTCGGCATAATCACCGAATAAATTATCGTCCGGACTGTGAACGATCGTTGCGGGCGATATTGCCTTCTGAATACTGTTTAACGCGTCGTGTTGGTGCAATAAGACTTTTCTCGCGTTCTCTTTCATAGGAGGAACATCAGGCAGATAGGAGGCTGACTTCGAATTGTCGATAGCTGTGTTCGCGGTTGTTCGCCGATAATCCGATTTAACGCGGACAATCGTTTCGACTTCCTCGGACACGCTAGATTGACTACCAGCCTTGGACGAAGACATGCTTTGATCGATTAGAGACATGTTGTTCTCGATGGATGAGTGCAGCGAGGTCTGAGAAGGTTCTTGATTGGGCACTGCAGCCCACGATATAGTAGAATTCGTGCATCTCAGTTCGTTTAACGTCGGATCGAAAACGTCGGACGGTCTTAGTTGTTCTGGTGACGCGTTCTTGTAACGCAAGGTGTATTTTCTCTCGGAGGAAGTGGCTTTTACGTGAGAGTCACCGCACACGCCATTGTTGCTGAATCCGACGGCGGAATGCAGTGACGAGGATTGTTGCTTGATCTGCGAGTCGGTAAGTGACGTCCCATTCAGAACATGACGATTTACTCGCTCAAACATGGTGTCGGAATGTGTGCTCGTCACAGAACGCATCGAGTCTTTACTCTCGCTCCTGGTGACTCCGTTACACTTGGCGGTGGATGTGCTGGGTTGACTGTGCAACTGATAGGAGCGCACTCCATGAACATTAATGCCGAGGAAGCTGTGATCAAGTTTGAATGTAAACTTATCATCTTTGTTAGTCGGCGACGTGCTCGGCTCGATGTTGTCACACGTTTCAGCCAGATTCTGATCAATCTCCTGCTCCAGTGCCCGCTGCCTGCGGGCGGCTAGGCTCGGCAAGGTCGACAGTCCTAGTCCGCGAGCGGTGGAGTCCAAATGGACGAGATTGTTACAGCCGGGTCTTGCGCTCAGTAGATTCTTCAAGGCTGCGCTAGAACCCATCGAGATCATCTTGTGCTTGGAGTGAACAAGACTGCGCAACATCGGTACGGCGCCTAGATCCCAAAGAAGACGTTGATCCTGGGGACATCGCGCGGACAGATTCCAGAGCGCTCCGCAGGCATTGCTGACTACTGTCAAGCTGGGCGATCTCAATTGCTGTAGAAGAACTTGTAGACAGCCTCTCTCCCTTACGATAGTTCGATAATCCTCTCGCACCGCTACGTGGCTCGATACGTTTCTCAGAATACCACCGGCGTTTTCGACTATTGCAAGCGTCTTGGATGGCGCCTTATAGCTCAGCATGTCGACGAGGAAGGCCAAGGCGCCGTCCACGGCGCAAATATCGACTTTGTTCGTACTGCAGTGGGCCGACAGATTCCACAGAGCGGACAGGATTGATTTGAGGGTAGATTCTTTGCGGCCTTCCATGGCGGCTTTCATCAGACCTATCACCGCGCCCACTTCCCTCAGAGTCTGTTTGCTGCTACTGTCGGCGCGCCAGGACAGATTTCTTAGAACGCTCGCCGTTACTTGTCTAAGGTCATCGCTGGGACTTCTCAGCTGCGAGACTAACGCCTTCATAAATTCCTTGAAGGAGCAGAGCAGTGCCTTGTTATTACCGTCGCCGAAGGTCAAGTTGGTCAACGCCATTCCCGCGTATCGTCGCAACGTGATGCAATTTTGATCGTCGTTCTCGCTGCCATGAGCCAAGTGATCCATCTCGATGAGTTCAGCGACCGCGTGGAGACCGCCTAGCTGGCACATTGCGTGGCGATGTGCCTCATCGAAGGATAGCTTCATAAGCGCGGCTATTGTCGCTGCGGGGTGTCCCCTCTCAAGATCGTCCGTGTGCTGATCTTGTTCTAAGAACATCCTCAGACTTTGACAATAGTCGCGCAGTTGCTCGAGAAAGCGAAGTACTCGCGCTTCCCGGCGACCAGCTCTTTCGTCACTCTTGGCATGCACCACGTTGTGTAACGCCTGCATAGCTCTGTCCCGAGTATCAGGATTCTGTCCAGGCGCGTGAATCAGCTGTACCAGTAGCGGCAGGCAGCCGGACTGTCTCATTACCAGGCAACTGTCTATGGAAGTACTCATAGAGAGCAAAGTCGTGCTCATATCATCCCGGCCATTCTTCTCGAGCATACCCAGTAGATTGTACACCACGTCCACCTTTGCACCTAAACGCCGGTGACCTTGCAGCTCCGCGGAATTGCCTTCGAGACCCGCGGAGTTCGATGATGAGAAACTCATTACGCTGGCGACATCCTACACATAGACATAGATTTTCGTGTTTAATGTTTTCATTTTTCCAGATAATACATAAATCTAAAGAATGCTTCGATTTCTCAAACATCTCTTTAGATTGTCCCTTTTTCTTACATTATTTGGAATTCACAATTCACGCGACTGATAAATAATATGTATACGTGCGTGAATTTGTAGCGACAAGAAGCGATACGCAAATAGCATGAACTTGTAGCCGCAACCTTCGGTCACAACTCCAGCAAGTGTCATTACTTTCCTTACAGCAGTGCGTATGTTAATATGGCAATGTGTAATGAGGGTATATCAATAAAGACAATATTAAAAAATAAAACTACAAGGCCATAAACGAGCAATTCTTGGGTCTTCTAATAAATATTTCATTTAAATATCTGGATGTACAGATATGTATAATTGCGGTACCAATTTTGACTTAATTACAGCTGTAATACTTTTACGCTGTAATTACTTTTTGTAATTAATACGTAACTACATAAGAAATCCAAAATAATACATATATAAAACACGAATAATAATATAAATAATGTCAATGCAATCAATCGATAAGAAAAAGATAGAATAGTCATTAGAACAAATCCGAATGATGATCTGTAATTTGACCTGAATTAACTCCACATGTGTACGTCCATTTATTCATTCGCAAAAAAGTCCAAGATATTGAGAGATACATTAATTATTATGAACAAGTACTCAGTTATGAAACGCATTAATATAGTAAAGAAATTTATATATACAAAACTATATCAATAAAATTCAAACAACGTGCAATGATTGAATTTTTAAATCGCTAAGAACGTAATGCTAAAACTAAAATTTATCGTTGCAAAACTGTGTATAGTAAAAAGACTCATGTTCATTGAAAGTATAGTAAATCATTAGATTATTAAATTTCGTCATTGTCAACCGGAGTATGCCAATATTGCCGCAATGGAAAATTTTTTTCTTTTGAAATTTTGAGGTCGCTTTTGAATGATACGGCGGTCATTTTTGATGATTTCAAATCAACTTTTCAGTGATTTTTATCAGTCACCAAAACTCGAAGTCTTTCATTACAAGATTAGTCAGCAATATTAAAATTCAGCGCGCATTGTTTGAATTTCGATGATATTGATCCTTATCACACGACGCCATGTTAACACTGTTTCAGAAAAGACTGCAAAGAAAGATCGAGTCAAACTTGTTAAAGTTGTGGCTGAAGCGCTTACAAGTTCACGTTATTCGCGTATCTTTCTTTACTACATTAGTGTACGTACATTATTTATCAGCCGTCCCACGTATATATGTATGCATATATACGCCGAGTGTTTCAGAATTATCTTTCTTCCAAAATTACCGAATGTTCTTTTAACCATCGAAGGAATAGGTCGGTGGTTTCGCGACACCCCGTATGCTGCCTACGAAAGGCAGCACAAATCGTAACAATACGCCGTTATAATCGTTCAACTTACATTGTGCGCAGCGAGTGATGTGCTCTGCTGGGCCGGAAAGCCAATCTGCTGATTAGCCCATACGTCTCTTCTGATGGGCCACGTTCCGCGATACGAAGACGGTAGCCTGTGGCTAGACAGGGAAGTGCTATTCTGTTTAGCTTCCTCTTCGCTGCTGCCATCCTCATTGTAATGTTTACTTCTCCTCAGGTAAAACTGTAATAAGAAGAAATTTTTTTTCTCTCGACTTCGAACTCGCGTCACAAGTGAGAATAAATTTTTTGCGCTTTCATCCGCACAAGACCTTTTCCTCCGCGACAGTTGTCTCTTCAATGATACGATGCAGCCATTTTACACTGATGTCTGACACGGTTTCTTTCGAAATGTTTACTTATTGTGACTGCGTGTGTATAGTGATACAAGAAAGGCAAAATAACGCAAAATAATTTGTGATTTTGTTTATCGACATCTTAGCTTCGGCCATAATTCAAACAAGATCTTTTTTTACATCTGCGAATCGTCAATTCTCTCCGTACAGAATAACATATATACAAGAGGGAACGTGCTGCATCGCACTTGGAGCTTGAAATTTTCAACACGTGCGGATGAATAGGGAAGCGATGCAACACAAATGCATCTTGGAAGGTGATGACTTAAAGGGCCAGGCCCAACGAAAGAGAAAGGACAGAGCGACAGGGTTCCGGAGGAAAGAGAAAATATGTATACATGTGCGCGGAGAGCGAAAACGAGAGAGCTAGAACTGTGGTGGGATAACAGCGCGAGACAGAGACGAAAGTCGAGGGCTGCCCCGTAAAATCAATACGGGATACGTTAGTGTAGGTGTATATACTCGTGCGCCACGAGTATAAGGCAATTCGTGTAGCAGTGGTTTTCAACCTTTGTTCCTTTCACAGAGACTTACACGACAAATGAAAAAAGAAACCATGTGATTTCAAGAAGAATTACATTGTAATTTAATGCGATTATAATTTCTATATTATTGAAATTATACTTGGATGTGCGAAATGCGTGCAAAGAAAATTAAAAGAACTAATCTTTGTCAGATTGAATACGTATAATGCTATCGTCAATTTTTTTCCATATTTCGAAATGATTGAAGACACTTTACGTTCGGAATCTTAATCTTAATTGTTCTGTAATTGAAATTCAGACTTTACCTTCAAAATAAATGTTATGTTATCAGCAAAGTCTAAACGAAACAATTTAAAAGAACAACACTTGAATACATTAATGACGCATTGCTGGTCCAATGATGATATTAATATTGATATAACAAATAATATATCACGTGAATCACTCTATAGCTATACAACTCGAATTGATCCAAACCACAATAAACAATCTCAAGTCATGCCGCGGTAAAGCGGGCTTCATTAAAGAGCTCTTCACGCCATTCTATCAGCAAATAAATTAAAAAAATCTCTCTCTCTCTCTCTCTCTCTCACGTATGAATATATTCGAAATACTTTATGTACACACTATGATATACACAAAAAAGGAGCGCGTTCTGATAATAGAATGAGAAAGAGGCTAACCTCGGGACTCGGTGTTGACGAGCGTCGTTCGTCTTCCTCCTTGGTCTCCGGCTCCATGGCATCCTCCTTACGAATTTCAGCGACGAGAGGAAGGTAAATACGTGGCGGCCTCGGCGCTGCGGCATCGACGACGGCGGCGCCCTTCACAGCGGCGCATCTCTGTGTGATGGTGGCGGTGGTGGCGGTGACGATAGGGTTGAATGACGCTGCTGCGGCGTCGGCAGCCGAGTCCAGCCTGCGCGATGCCAGGGGTGGCGGCGACGACTGCCGTTCCCTCTGTGCGCTCCACGCACTGGCGACGCCTTCCACCCCGATGCTCACCGTCGCCGCCGCCGCCGCCGCTGCCGCCGCCGCCGTTATCGCCGACGACGAGCTGCACGACACGCGACCCTCCGTTGCGCGCGATCTATCCCGGTGGGTTTCCGCGTTCTCCTGGAAAGAGAAGAAAAAAAGGGAAAAGTGCATCAGCGCGGAAGTGATGATGAAACATAAAGAGAAAATAAAGAGAAAAAGACATACTTTCTATTTCTTTGGATTCCTATAAAATTTGAAGTTTCGTGAAAAAAAGATCATCGCTGAATGACAAAAGGTCAAAACTCGTGTAAATTTATGGGAGTATATATATAGATTTGTAATGATTGTTTATATATTTATTTGTAGATATATATCTCTCGTCTCAGCATGATTTTTCTATATTTTTTTATAAAATTTATAATAAAACCTATCAATCAACAGCTCATTCGTCGCCGTAATGTTTCTATATGAAAAATTAATACATTAAATATAAATCGGGGTATCTTTTCATTCACACACATCACTCACATTATTCGAGAAATGGCGAACGTGTAGGCAAAAATGAAAGGAGATTAGCATTCATTATCATATTTAAGCCATTATACGGTGCAATTAAATGTATCCGGTGCGCTCGTAATTAAGTGACTTGGCTGTCTCGACAGGTTTATTCACAAATAAATCGCCCGATTTAATGCACCTTTTGATTTCGATCGGCTCGTATCGTTCGCGCGCAATCTTTTCTCCACCTGTTGGTGAAAGCGTGCGAGCGCAATAACGATTGAAATCATTATTTCGTTCCTTCAGCGTACAATATATGTACAAATGTTATTAGGTACAGTGTGTGTTTAAAGTGTGCATCATATGCTTGTGCCACTTTCCAATCTTAAAGTCAAGGTCAAGGCAACGCGTTATAAATATATCGCTGTATTTTATCAAGGTAACGAGGAACGCCCGTTTGTAACTTATTATTAGAAAAGCTTTCGTATAAATGCTAAATCGTAATGCGGCGATGATCCGCGATATATACATTAGCACTGCACGTAATACGCATATATAACGCATTGTTAATTAGCACGCTGCTCGCGATATAGTTGCTTGCGTAATTATGCGGGGGCAGCCGGCAGAAGATTTTATCGTGCTGCGATTTTACGTTCCACGCCAACTGCCAGAAATGCAGTTCAACGCATGCGAAAGACACTTAATCCATGAAGACTACACATCTGTGTAGTCGCAATGTATACAGGGTGTCTCATTTTATATTTGACAGTCAAATATTTGGAAATCGCGAGGTTTGAGAGAAAAATGTTTTAGAAAAAGTTGTAGGGTTTCGAGGGGGACATAAGATGATAACATTGGTTTGACCCTGAGTGGCGTCGTTAAGGCCAGGACACTTTGAATTTTTTAAATGGAACCACTCATTTTTCGTTGCATATTCTTGTAGCTTATTTCAAGAGCTTTCCAAAACACATATATAAAATGTTTTTTGGTTAAGTAAATCTCGAGTTATAAAGCTTGAAAGTTACAGTACCACCGGCATTAACATTATCTAAGGTGTCCGAACAATGATTGAAACCTTTTGAACGTTGTTCAGGATCGTGAGCTTGACAATTACTAAAAAAATTTATTAAGACTCCTGTTTATTTACCATTACTATCTGTAGATTGTGCCTCTAGAAGTGAGAAAATACATAATAAAAATTTTTGCAAAATATGTAGATATATGTATGTATGTATATTAAAATAAAATATGTGTATTAAAATGGAAATACGTTTCAAACAACAGTTACAACGGACAGAACCGACTTGTAAAATATATACTGAAAACTGTCCTTTTATTTCGTTAATTAATAAAATAACCATATATCTAAAAATGAATTATGCATAATCATAAACGAAATGAGCTATATATGTTCACAGCTGTGACAAGTGTTAAATTAATAATATATAGAAATAAATGATTTAATTTCTCCTCAAATAGGTAGTTTAATATTTTATAAGTCTATTCTCTTTATCGATTGCAAATGTTGTTTTATTGAAAATATTGCTATAATTTCTATTAATTTCAATTAATACATTTTACAAGAGTTTTTATTTATTTCTTGCTTCTGACAATGAGTCTAGGGATGTGTCGGATATCCGGCAACTATTTGGTATCCGGCCAATCCGATTATTTTTCCACAATCCGGCCGACTAGCTGGATAATTCGGTTATTTAGCCAGATTATAAAAAAGTCGTTTTCCACAACTGATAATAATTACATTTAAAATTTAAATTTTTCAAATGCAATGAGTACTAAATTAATAACTTACTCTATATAAATGTAAGATATACTGAAAAAACAATTTTTACAATTAAGTAAAATTAATATTAATACTAAAATGTGCTATAAAAATTTAATAGCAATAATGTTGTACATAATATTATGTACTTTAGTACTTTGCAATAAATCCAAATAAAAAATTAACTTGAAAAATGTAACAGTTGATTAGTATCAACTGTTACATTTTTTATAAAAAAAGACAAAAATTTTTCTTTTCTCTCTTCTTTTTATATTTCTTTTCTTTTTTTCTCTTTTCTCATTTCATGTATATTTATTTTATATTTATTTTATATTTCGGTTAATCAATATCATATCTAAATACAAAACTTTGCTCAACATTTTTACAATAAAAAGCTCAATAAAAATATATATCAATAAGTTCTGCGTTAAGCTTGAATCAAAATATGCATTGCAGATTGAGTATTATGAATTGAAGATTAAAATTTCATCAATTAGATATTAATTCCTAATTTGTTTTATTCTAATTAATCAAATCCTAATCCTTAATCTCCAATTTACAATTCTTTTTTTGATTGTAAAAAAACAGTTAAATTTTTATTTTTTCAACTTTCTTGTGTAGTGCGTATATAAGTACGTAAATGAATGCGGACTCGTTAATTAAGTAAATAATCTCTTTATTCAATGAGTGTACGATCTTTCCGGTTGAACGTCCAATTTAATTCTATTCTGTTTTCTGCGAGTCTCTTTTTAAATCAAATTATTATTTTTCGTTGCTTGTAAGTCATATTAATACGACGATCATATGATTGAACATTGCACGTTATTATATTACACCGTACAACCGGTGTTCTTAACGGAAAGATTCTACGCCGATTCTTTCTACTACACTTGTGTAATTATCGGATATATCCGGTTATCCGTTTTTATTTGATAGCAATAAATGCCGGATTATCCGATATCCGGTGATTCGATAAATTATAGCCGGCACATCCATCACAATTTGAAATAATAGTTGAGAGTGAGAACAGAAGTCTTAAAGTTATTTTATTATAAAAAAATGATTGACAAAACAGTTTCGTTGATATTATCTCACGCTTATGTGTGACTCATTCATTTCTACATTACAGATCACGTAATAAAAACTCCGATCAGATAATGCCAATATCGAAACTTAAGACCGGTAATATACCACGTCCTGTCTCGTATTCTTTTTTCTGTTTAGAGCACTAATTACAGGTTGTTATTTATAATTAGTTTTAGCAGGATCTGGTTTAGATCGATAATTTCAATAACATTTTCATCAAATCAAGAGAATTAGATGATAAATAAAAACGAGATAATTCTTTGTATCTACATGCTTCTTCTTGCATGCGTAATTAAAGTGCGTTGAACTTCGTAAATATATAAGCAAAAGTGAACGCATCTCTCCGCTGTTATTTGCAGATATAGTCACTTTCACTATTTTCTTCGGCGTTCAGATATCCGATAAAATAGCGCGTGATTTTCCGAAATGGCCAATAAACTCAAGATAATTGTGAACTATACTAACGAGTCTAAAACTAGACTGTCGATAATTATGGCTACAAAGTTGATGAATTTATAGTTTTCGATAGTCATTCGTTTATTACATTTACTACGCGTGCAGCTTTCGGTACGATGTGTGTGTATTTATCGCATTAGAAAGATACATCTCTGTTCACCGTAATGAGACAAATCAAATCGATTGCAATACGATTAAACGATCTGCTAAATCGCAAAGATGAAAATAATAGGACAAGGCGAGAATTTACTTATAGCTTTCACAGCGGCATCGTCCGTTTCCTTTCTCCCGCGAACTCATTAATCGTCGACCGGAAAACTTGTGATTCGTGATCGGAAAAATAGCACGCGTCTAATGCAAATAATGGTCCGCGCTGCGTTCACAGAGTTGTGAAGCATGTTCGTGAAATAATTAACAGATAGTTCTTCGGATCTAAAATAAGCCACTTAATCGTTTCGATTTACTTAGAGCCTTACATATAGCACAGATAAGTCAAATTTGGCTTATTGTACCGCGTTGTGGGGCGATGTGAATGACACGTCGAGATAAGAGAACCGGCAGTTTAATGATGTCGTAATTGGCGAAGTGACTCAATTGCGATCGTGGGACAGATAGATACCTTAGAACATATATATAAATAAAAGGAGAATGGGGAATCAAAAAGCGTCTGATGGAAATGAGAAAGGAAATCATATACCTCTCTCTCTTGCTCTCTCTCGTGTGAGTCGATTTTCGAAAGTGCGCATGCGTGTCGTTTGGCCGCGCGCATGTGTAATTGCGAAAATCGACTCACAAAGAGAGAGCAAGAGAGAGATATATATCGGACGTGGACCTCTGTTCATCTTATGGGCATTCCTCTTCCATTTATATATGTTCTAAAGTCTTGTGTCCACGATACTAGGAAATCTAAATTCTCAAAACAAGAACTGTGTAGCCAATCAATTTGCAGCTTTTACGGAAACGCAGTAATTTTATTGGCTATACAGTTCTCGGGTTCGAGAACTTGAACCGATTTCTAGTATGGTGGACACAAGGCTTAAGATAGATACTCGCTTTTGTGATGATGCTGTGCACGCCCGTTTTTATTTCATCCAACTTGAAACTATTATTGTTATTATCAATATTATATTACACTGAGAGAAAAATATTTTGTATTTGTGACTATAATTACATAATAAAAAAATTATAGTTAGAAGCATTAGTAATAATTTTTAACTATTATTAGTAACTATTTTTATAGTTATTATTACTATAAAAATATACATCTAAGGTTAGTAATAATAACCTTATACAGTGGAACCTCCGTAAAAGTAACTTG